CGAAATAATACAATTGTCGCAGCGCCGTGGTGCTTCCAAGTTCATTGGTGCAAGAAACTGGACTGCTTCTGGCTCCGCCGCAAGTCCTGTGATCTGTCCTGTCCTGTCCTGTCCTGACCTTGACGCTGCCTTTGATGTTTGCGCTACCCACACGCCTGGCTTGCAGCGATGGGGGTGAGTTTCCAAATTTTGCTCAAAGATGGTCAATTTATGTATAGACGACGCAGCACTTCGCACTGTTTGAGCATGTAACTGGTTATGGCCTCTTTCGAGTGAAGGAATTTGATGAAATAACTCGCAACTTCACAGCCCACGTGAATGCGTTCATTAAACCGGTGGCCTTTATGCATTTCAAGTCTGTGGAGGAAGCTGTTGAGAATGTCGAATGTATATCAGAAGGAATAGTTTCGAGCTTACTTAAACAGTTTATCGTCATCAATGTTCCGAAGAAGTCCTGTATTCTGGGTGTGGCGGACGAGGCTCTCGGCAAAGCTATTCTGTAAGTCCTCGTGTTGCAAAATTTGATTTAAACTCCTAAAAATGCGCGCCTGATGAGCTTTGAAAAAAGGATGACACATAATAAATAATTATCCATGCATCTAGTCACATTCGTCAAATCTTTGTTGGGTTTTCTAACAGTGAATTAGATTCACGCCTAAATGAGTGGACTTACCTGTGACAGCTGAAAACCTATGCCTTATGGTTTGTCAATATATATGTATATATAACAAGTGGCGTGGCTCGTGTTGGTCAATTATACTGACTGCAGTATTTATGCTCAGACCTCTGCTGTTCAGTTCATTTCTGTTTGCACAGGACGAAAGTGGTCCAGACCAATCGTGCGTCCAGATCGCTGTGTTGTCAGCTAGTTGCCTTAGCTTCCAACACTGCTCGTCAAACGTTCGTTCTGCTTTTTTTCTGAAAGGCACAATGTTTAGGTGCAGTATCACGTCCACCAGATATGTATATATGAAATACATAGATAAAGGAACGAACTCACTTAGTTCGTTTATCACCTCTCAAGTGGCCAGCTCGGAAATACCACGTCCCAGCATAGATCTAAGGCTTTTTTGAAGACCACCACATTCTCCGGTAGTCTGTTCCACAAAGGCACCACATGGTTCGTGAAGAACCTGGCACTCAATTCCAACCTGGAGTGCTCTCTTTGCAGCTAGAATTGCAACTTTTTAACATGTTTCTTTAAACAGATGGAAACGCAATTAATTCAATATCTGGCAGTATTCCAAATTCCATCCAAGCTGAGTCATTTACCGTTCAACTCTACCAAGATGTGCTGCTTGATACTTACTCGGAATTTAAATGTTCTAGGTAAAATGAGGACAGAGATACACAAAAAATACGTAAAACGTTCGGCCTTGAAAGAGTTTCGCGTGCTAAGAAAACGGGCTTCGTTAAGACGTCATTTTTCATTACTCAGAAAGATCCAGTTATCGCGTATTATCGACAATACCATTATATTTCCCACATCTGAGTTCAGACGGGATGCGAATAAAATCACGGTATGTTAGTTTATATGAAAGTAAGTTTTATGGTTTATTCGTGAACACAATACTGCTAGGTTGCCCAAGCCAGAGCAGGTAAATTTTTTTTAAGGAATTCACGACCGCAGCCCTCGGATAGCCGGAGCCTGTCCCGCAAGGCAGTGTGCAAACACCACGATTCCATTGGGGACCGATGTTCAGTTCATTGGATCATACTCAATCCACTTCAGTACCCGATCGAGCTGGTGACCAATGCCATACCGAGCACAGTGTAGGTGGGTGTTTCGTGGCCTCCTCTTGATTGGTTAGTAAACGAATTTTAGCCAACTCCCGTCGGTGAACTGCTACTTTGACCACATTTCCCGTGCATCAGGTTCCCAAACAATGTCAAACGACCAGTAGACCAACCATCGCCATTTTGGAGTTACGTGCTGCGTTTAGTTCAGTTGACAGAGAAGCTCTCTAGATTTGTTTGTTAGGAAGCAGTGTGCCTGGGAAATACGTAAACCCCAAAGCCGTCTATAATCGCATCTCCCCTCCATCAGAAAAGAAGTTCAACAAGGGTGCCCGGCTTCACCCGTTCTCTTCGATTTCGCCATGGATATAATCCTGAATAGCGCTATAAAAAAGTGCGGGGCTTCCCGCGTGAAGCTTCTCTCAGGTGATCGACTTCGTGACTTGTAATATGAAGATGGCCCTCCGAAAACCCCAGTTTGGTCGGGCTTGTCTTGGGTTGTGGCTGGTCATCCTTACCTTGAACCTTGCGAAATGCTCCTTTACGATCAATCGTCTGAAATAGCCCCTGCAAAGGAAACCCTACTCACTGTCTTCCCGTGGCAGGGGGTTTCCCCACCATAGTGAGAGGCCGAAAAACCAATATCCGAGATTATACCTGGGTCCGTGAACCCCTGGCATTTCAGCTGATTGCAAACCAACCCAGAAGAAGAGTACGAACTACACTCACCCACGCGTTAACCTCAAAACTGGCGGTTATAGGGTGCTCTAGGCTCCCAGATTAGGGCCTCAATGAGAGCGAAGATCAATGGCTTGAGACAGTAACCGACACGGCAGGAAACCGGCGTCTATGTGGTACCTGTTGCGAGACGTTGATTTGCTACTATTAATCAGTAACTACTAAACTGAATTCGATGCGATAGTGAGTGTTCGATGCATTCCCGAATATCGGACGACTTATATGTAGGTTACTAACCCGTTCAGTCCATCCCACCTGAGCCAGACAACGTAAGCATCGATTTTCAAAAACCACTAATGGAGATATGTCTTCCCGCGAAATCATGTTCTCAACCGTAAAGCAAAACTGATCATACAGTGGCACAGTGCACGCGACTTTTCAACTCCAGCGAAACGTCACGTCGTCGCTACAGGTGTTTTAGTCCGGCGTGCACTGCTCGAGCCTTGAAAATGCGGTTATCTCATTTGATGTGCCACCGTCGTTATTTACGCAGATATCCGAACCTTTGATTAGCTCTTTATCTTCCGTACCCAACCCTCTCTCTTTACCCTTTCTTCCAACCCGTGACGTTTCCTCAGACAACTTGTTCGTCACTCGCTAAAGTTCGTTGCCAAGTAGCTCGGTAAGCAGTTTACCACAAAATAGATAGCATATTCTGAAGCCTCGTCGACCACTTAATCTGGGGGCCTTCAACGTGAGGACTCTGATGCAGGTAGGTCAACAAGCATGTCTGGCGCGTACAATGAACTCTTTGGGAATGGATGTCTGCTGCGTGTCGGAGACTCGAATTCAGGATCCTGGTACTATATGCCACTTAAGTGCACCGGGGTTGTCTTCTAGGTTCTCCCTCCGCACGTCTGGTGATGACAAAGCCCGTTCAGTAGGCCAGCTTGGTGTGGGCATTGTACTGAATAATACAGCCGAAGCCGCACTAGTCGATTGGATCCGTCAACAGCCGCTTATGTGCGATGCGGCTCCAAGGGTCTATCAGCGTCGGGAAGGGAAGCAACACCAAAAGGTGTTTGTTCATCATTTCAGCGTATGCTCCGACCAACTGCAGTTCTGACGCACAAAAGGACGAGTTTTATGATAAACTCACCGAACTCATTCGATTGACCGGAAACTCCGATATAGTTATTCTCGCAGGTGATTTCAACGCTGAAGTTGGAAAACTGAGCGCATCGGAAGCTTGTCTAGGCGGTCACTGTGCTCTGCCCTGCCAGTGAACAGATAATGGCGATCAACCTCTTCACTTCTGCGCAGATCATCTGTTCCTATCCAGCACCAACTTCCGACACAACTCTCAGCGGGCAGCAACGTGGCGTTCAAATTCAACTGGCACGCTAACTGAGATCGACCACATAGCAGTAAGTTACCGTTGGCGTGGCTCAGTACAAAACTGCAGGTCCTATTGGACCACATGCGTTGAATCTGATCATGCGTTAGTTTTGATGCAGTTCAGTCTCCAACTCACTGATCGCAGAAAATTCCACCAAACTCGATTGGCAGATCATCGTTTATCTGACCCAGCCGTTCGTGCCCGTTTTGAATCAGCACCAGAGCAAGAGCTAAACGCACGGCGGGGTGGTAGTGTAAGTGAACAATAGGATCAGATTAGGCGAGCAATCCACTCCGCAACGAACGTTGCTTGTGGATCTGAAGCAGTAGCCCACCCGAGGCATGGGATCTCTGACGAGTCAGTAACTGATAGAGAAAAAGGCGGCAAATCCCCTCCGCTTACGATCAAGGTAGGGTTAGGAGGCGTCTACATTGTCATCTCACGAGGAGCCTAAAGAAAGACCATGAGAACTGGTGGGCAAAGATAGCTAGGGAAATGGAAGTAGCTGCTGCATCAGGGAATAGTCAAAGACCGTTCCGACTGATACGCAATACGGGAGGTCGGCGAACCACGGTTAGTGAAACAGTCTGCGATAAGAGGGGATGAGCTATTCACAATAGGGATCAACGACTCGATCGCTGGGCAGAATACTTCAACGAACAGTTC